TGACCCTGCTGAAGGCCAATGTTCCACCAGTGTTAGCGTGACCGAACATTAAAATCTAGCTAGGTAAAAAAGCCCTCTACATTTGTTTTATTTTTCACATAATTTGTTACATGCATTCTTTTATATTTCAATCTGTTTTTTTTATTATTATTATTATCTAAACTTATTTTACACTTACCTATTTTGTAGGAATTTCTACTTTTGGGTGTTTCAGAAAAGAGTGCATGCAAATTCCAGAAGGAAGTTTTTGAGTTGTGGATCTTTGGCTTTTAAGAAGATTGCATGTTACTTGACATTTCTATTAAATATTTTTATTTCGGTCTGTAATAACTTATAACTTATCTTTATTTCGGTGGTCTGTAACTTATGACTTGTGACTTAATCTTTATCTTTGGCTTTTAATCTCTTTTTTGGATGTTTGCTAGTATTTTAATCTTTGGCCACTTTAAACAGGTTAAACGAGTTAAACAGGTTAAACGGTAAACATGGTAAACAGGTCGTGTTTGGTGTGTCTAACACGACACGTTTATTAAACAGGTTACACGTGTCGTGTCGTGTTACCCGTTTAATAAACGTGTCGTGTTCGGGTTTAGGATATGTGACACGATTATTAATCGTGTCGTGTTCGGGTTGACCTGTTTAGTGTTATACCCCTACTTCGACATGACACGGTTATGACACGCGAACCCGAATTGCCACCCCTAAGTCGATCCAGGAATGCATCAACTGATTCAACACAGAGATGTCGCAGGTAGAAGAGGTGGACGACAAGGTGGCTTTGACTGCTTTCATAGGAGGACTCTAAACCTCCAGATTCTTATTCGCCTTATCTAAAGAACCTCCCACCAGTATGGCAGAGTTGTTGATCAGAGCGCAGAAACACATGAACGCTGAAGACGCCATGAATGCACGGAAGGAAAAGGAAGAAGAGGACAAGAAGAGGTCAGCCCCTCTCACCAGGGATGAAAAGGTTACCAGCTATAAGAGATCATTCTTCAGCCAAAGCAATGAGGAAGACTCAGATAAGTATACCGACTAACAATTGTCTCACAGCTGGAATTAGCCTTATCAAGTCATTCAAAATAAAGACTGAGGGCATCTCAGTTAACCATTTTAAATGGAGGGTAGTTCCCTCACGTGTTATTTTGTTTTCAATAAGCCTTGAGGCAATGATGGTCTGTAATAAAATTCCTTTCAGTTGTATTAACTCTTGGTCAGTTATCTTTATACTTGCAATATCCTCGTATTACAAGGGATGATAATGAGTGTCCTGTATAATAAGGACCCGGGCTAAATAAATTCCGTAATCAATATCCCCGTACTATAAGGGATAGTAAATAAATGTCCTATATTATAAGGACCCGGACTGAATGAATCCTGCAATCAATATCTCCGTACTATAAGGGATAGTAAATAAATGTCCTGTATTATAGGACCCGGGTTGAATGAATAAATGTTCTATACTAAAAGGACTCAGGCTGAATGAATCATGTAATTAATATCCCCGTACTATAAGGGATAGTAAATAAATGTCCTGTACTAAAAGGACCCGGGCTGAATGAGTCCCGTAATCAATATCCCCGTATTATAAGGGATAGTAAATAAATGTCCTGTATTATAAGGACCCGGGCTGAATGAATCCCGTAAACAATATCAAATAAATGTCCTGTACTAAAAGGACCCGGGCTAAATGAATCCCGTAATCAATATCCCCGTACTATAAGGGATAGTAAACAAGTGTCCTGTACTAAAGGGACGAGCTGAGTGAAGCTCGTAAAAACTAATTCCCTTATTAAAGGGACGACGAGCTGAGTGCAGCTCGTAAAATTTATTCCCTTGCCAAAGGGATGGGTTGACTGAAACCAATAAAGTTTACACATAGTATATTGGATTTTCAAAAGAAAAATCCAGTTTTACATCACTAAGAGTCATTGACCATAGGTTTAAGTCCATGCCCTTCTAAAACAGAACCTTGATTTGGTATCTGTATTAATTCCACCATTGGGAATACTACCCAAGAGAAGATTATCCACGGGAAGAGTTCCCGAGGGTACCAAAAAAATATATATATATATATATTGTTCATGTGAACAGTACCCGCAGGAACTGTTCCCAGGGCAACAAAAAAAAAATATTACATTCCCAAAACTAGACGAGCAAGCTTGGGAATGGGGGGTAACTGATAGGGAAAAATAAACCTAATCTACTTTGACTTAACGATAGAGGCAACTAAGTGTTGACCAGCCGCCAGACCTCTTTGACTTTCGAAATATTTCGTTATCAAAGATAAAGATTTCTATCGGATAAGAATGATGACATTTCTTATCCAGGATAATGAAAAACGACGTGGTTCAACAGGGTAAGGATAACCTTGGCACAATTTGAGAAAGACAAAGGAGTAAATCATATCCCTGACAAATCTGACAACAAATGATCTCCTCTGATCTCGCAAATGAACTAAGGGAAAACGGCTATAAGAATGAGATCCTACGAGTCAATAAAGGTACGACAAAAAATGATTATTAAATCCCTGTCTTTCTTTTAGACCTCCGGTGACTGACTTGATCTTCAGAGAGCTCTTGGCAGGCACCACACCGGTGCCGTCAAGTTTCATCGATCTTCTACTCTTTTCTTTGCAGGGAAACAATGCCGTACTGGATCGCGTGGATTTCTCCCCCAACAGTCACAAACAAGGAATTTGGTTCATACAACCGTGTTTGTTTATGCAGGAATAAATCCAAAACATTATATCCTCCCTACTTTCACGAGAAAAACAAATATCAGGAACCAAAAAAGAAAATTTAATGAGCTTACGAAGTAGAACAGTGATCATCTAAAGGCAGTCCATAAATATGCTCAACTCATCTTCCTAGACTTCACAAATTAATTTCCATTGAGAATAAAGAAGTTGAAGCAAAAAATGGGCAGTTAAATGCACGAGGCTCCTACCACTACGGGGTCTGAGGTCTGTAGAGGGTTAGATTCACACAGCCTTACCTCTGTATGCGGATAGGCAGTTTTCCGTCTCGAGCCCACAACTTCCATGTCACAATAAAACCACCTTATTGTTGTGCCAGTGCCCACCCTCAACATTAGACTCCCATGCATCAAGATTATTAAAAATTGAACATGGAAGACCATTGAAATGGAAATTATTGACGCAAGAGGTTGACAATATTTTGCAGATTCAATTGTTTCAATAAAAAAAAATATCCAAGACACTAAAGGTTGTGGGCTCAATTTTTTTTTTTTTTAAAAAAAAAAATTGATTTAAACAGGAATGCAGAAGTACGAGTTGATCTTCACTGCTTTGGCAATATTGACGTTTGTTAACAAGTAAAATAGTGAACTTTTAGAATTAAAAATGAAAGAAATAAAGAAAGAAAGAAAGAAAGAAGTATACAGTACAGCTTCCTGAATAGAGTATAACCTTTAAAATTACTCCCAATCGTTCTTCTTGACTGCAAGCCCTTAAATTCATAATGACGAAGAAAATGTATTTTATGGATTTAGCAACTGTGGGTAGCCAACATGGTTATGTGACAATCTTCAAGTAAATAAATCTCTAATATCCAGTTGACACGTGGACACAGTTCCACGGTTATGGAGTGCCAACCCAATGAATATACTGGTGTCCTGATCCTAAGAGTACTTGGCTTGGTGGCTTAAGTCTATAATTCACTGAGGTACTGCTCTCATGGTCGATATGTCGGCCTATTCATGGTACTACACCTAATCTTGTTTTGTAGACTTAGCTTTCAGCAAGATTACTCATGTTGACAGTGAACACCAGCAGAGAGCAACCCCTCCACAATGCATTTATCAACATGCAACACATTCAATGTCCCCATTTACATAGATTTCTACAGTTTTCACTTAAACTTTCGAAACAATGCAGCCTTTGTTTCATAGCTAACACCATCAATAATCCCTTACACATTGATGACTGATGAGACTCCACAATCTAGAAGTAGGCATACTTTTTCTCAAATTCACATTAAGATTCACTCTTATAAGGAAACTATTAAATCCTACAAGTTTGTCCCTTATTCTTGTTTGCCATTTGAGTCGATCTTCTCAGAAACCAAACAGATTCTGATGTGTGATAGGCTTTTGAGAAATTGATTAATACTCGTCCCAGCTATCCAGTCCCTAAGCTGCCTAGACTCTCTAACTGGCCTAAGCAAGAGTAAAGAAAGAAAATGGTAAAGGCAACTCTAGTGAGTTCCAATAGGTGAGAAATAAAGGTAAAGTTGTCAAGTCTCCTTTTGAGATAAAGAATAAATGAAATTCATCTTTGAAAGCCAGTATTTTCAGTATCCTCAAACATTTTTTATATTCATTATTTCATGCCAACCATAGGAGGAGGAAAGCAAAGTGTAGAGGCAAACGTAAATGAATAAAAGATAACTTAGTAGCAAACTCAAGTCATCTCCTCAGAAAAAAGGATCAGGAAGTGTAAGAATAAAAGGAAATTACTTTGAGGTGTGGAAAATTCCACCTGTAGAAATGAAAACAAAAGGAAGTTGGATGAAAACTACTTGGGCTAATATTGGTACCTGAAGAAGGTGTAAGAAACCCAACCCAAAGGCCTAAGAAGATGTGCATCATGTCTACTAACAAGCATGGTACTCCAAAAGCGCAAGGGCACAATAGGTTTCTAAGAACCCCCTTATGCAGACTTTATCTTTTTATCCTTTTCAATGCTTCGTTTGTGTTCTGTAGTATAACCTTACCCTCTCAAGATTTTACATTTTCCTGCTTGGTGCTTTACTGATTATGGAAATCCAAGTCATGTGAAGAGCAATCCATTTAAAATTATCATTAGGTTTTATGCATGACAATGTACTCTTCCAAAAGGCATTCATAAACGTTATTATACTGAACCTGTGGGAGTACCAGACTCCAAGTAAACACAAGGTATGTATCAAATATAATTGTTTGAGACATATACAAGAAGAGTAATCGAACTAAACAAAATGTCAAAAAAAAAAACTCACATATAGTGTTGGAACAGCTGCAATAACAAGGCTTGTAAATGCCACAGATGTCTGCAAGCATCAAATATCACTTGTTATCAATACAAAACAAAGTGGTATAAATAGAGAAAAATCAATAAAACTGAAACATTTTCGACCCAAGAAGAAGCCAACTATAATCACAGCACTTCAAAGCCATGTTTATGTGTGTGTGTGTAAGCGTCTGAGCGGGTGGGCTGGAATGGACCACACCATAGGACCAGCAAACCAGCAAAAGATTGAAGTCATTGCCGTAACTCATTATAGTTGAAGAATTAAGAAATAAATTTGAAAACCCATATTCAGAAATCAAAGCTGTGAGGTTCACGGTTAATCAATCACAACTATTCAACACACAGCTCGTTCATTCAATTAACCAAAGTAATTGAAGTAGGAATGAACCACATCATTGGAGCACAAACCAGCAAAACATTGAAACCACTGTCATAACTCATTATAGTTGAAGAATTAAGAAATAATTTTGAAAACCCATCTTAAGAAATCAAAGCTGCGACGTTCATAGTTAATCCAATCACAACTATTCAACACATAGCTCGTTCATTCAATTAACCAAAGTAATTGAAGTAGGAATGGACCACACCATTGGAGCACAAAGCAGCAAAACATTGAAACCACCGTCACAAGTCATAATAGTTGCAGAAATAATAAATAAATTTGAAAACCCATGTTTGGGAATCAAAGCCACGAGGTTCGTAGTTAATCAATCACAACTATCCAACACATAGCTCGTTCAATCAATTAACCAAAGCAATTGAAGTACCGTGCAAGCAATGAAGGCCAAGAGAAAGAAAGCCCGGTCGCTTAAGCTCAACTTGTCCACCTGAGAAACATACGGTGGCATATTGGGTTGTCGCACTTCGACGTTCAATCGACGACTCTCGCTGTTATCTTCAACATCAAGAAGATCATTGTTAAAATTCTGAGTCTCTTCGTACTGATTGGTGGCCAACACATCGGACGATTTTGGGGGAATTGAGGAGCATAGTGTGATCCAACGAGAGGGTTTGACGATTGGGGGATTTAGAGAGATGGGTATTGTAGAAGAAGGTCTAAGGAAGGCATTGGAATTGAGGTGTGAAATGGAAGTGGTTCGTGCAAGAACACAGAATTGAGAGAGAAAATTAGAGGTTGGAGTAGAGTGATGATAATGATAATTATGATGAGCAGTGACCAGACCAGGTGGTTTCATGACGACGACGACGGTGAAGGTGGTTTTGAGATATCTGAATACGGTGTGTTAGAAAGGGGTGAGTGTGAGAGTCTCAGAGAGAAATGGAACGAGAAGAAAATAAATAGATAAATAATAATAATAAAGGAACGAGGGGCGGTAATAGTAATACTATCCCTTCTTCTTTTTTTCTTTTTCTTTTTTTTCATTAGTTATTTTTATTTTTATTTTATTTTTCTCTATCTTTCATACGTTTTTCAATGCTTATATACCATTAGAACAATAGAAATTCCTACCTTATGGGTGATGGAATCAAAAGACGACATTCGTCCTAAAAAATTAAAAAATCAGATTTTGTCTTAAAAAATTATCTAATATTAAAAATTAAAAAAGCAGATTATACCCATTTTTGAGAATAGTGCTATTCCACCCAACTACCAAAAATGGACAAATTACTACTAGGATTTCGCTGTATGCGCCAACTGTTCACAAGACACTTGCACAATCCTTTTTTTCTTCTTCTTTTTCTCCCTCCCCACAAATAAATCATGTATCATCCAACTCCCGTTACCAGCAAACTATATTTGTGCGTGGATCGCCAAACAGTTCATCAAACCATCAATGAATTCAACATTCCCAAGGGTTACTACTTTGATTTCTTTTTTTCTTCTTATACATAAAATCAAACCGAAAGTAATAATTCCATATAAATACCACTCGAATGACTAATTCTTGACAGAAATCAATGAAATACATGCCTGATCGAATTGATTCTGAAGTGATTGTCATGCGGGTCAGTGATCTCAAATTTAATCCAGACAAAACCTTCAATTCGATGTTGTTCAACTTGATTATCATGTGATTGTCATCTGGGTCATCGAATTTTGGGTTCCGGCTGGTGTAGAATTTGACGGCGAGGAGTGGGGCGACGCTGGGGACGTTGGTGTTGGAATTGGCAATTATCGAAAACAAAACAAGTCCCAGTCGAGTTGTAATTCGAAGTTACTATATCAAAATCGACAACGACTGCGGAATGGAAAGGTTGTTTCAAGTTACCATAACCGAGATTATTCGAGAAATGTGAGAACAACACATTACAAAGGAATTTTAAAAAGTTAGGACACATTCTACACTTGGTATTTATTTCAAAATCTTACCACACTGTGTTTTTAACCTTAGTGAACCAGAAAATTCAAGTCTGGCATACTTGAATTGGTTCAGCCCCTCTGAACAGGTTCAAGGAGTCCTTGTTCATAATACAGTTTTCAGTTTTCTTTTCTTGATTTTTTTCTTAGTTGGTTTAAGATCGTACCAAGTCCTATACGCGAATTTTTTCATATTTTCAGAGGGGTTAGGACATTCTAAACTCTACATAAACCTTGTCATACACATATGTTTATTCACGGCTTTTATTCTACAACTTCATTATTTTTAAAAAGCATTAGGAAGATTAGTCTTGTAGAAAATCCAAGAGATTTCTCTGTCATCTTTCTAGAACACACACACATATTCACATAGTGATTTTAATATTGTGTTATTCGAATCCTGATCGTGATCATACAGTTGCATTTACATCGATCAGACAAAAGCAGAACTACTTCTACATCAAGTCCAGAAGTTGAAGAACAGAAGTAAAAGAGATCACATTTTGAAAGGGTTGGAGCATTCAAGGAGTGTTGTCCGATCTACCTGCTATTATTCTACAAAGATCAAGCATAAGCCTGAGGTCAAGTTGCTGTTGAACGGGGAGTCACAAAGCTAGAGGATTGTCAGCAATTGGTGTTTGGTAAAATGATAGGGTGTGAGTTAGAGTCAAAGTTCAGTGTATTTTGTTTCAAGCATAGTGGATCGATTTACTTTGGACTGCATAGTCCATGAGGTTTTTCCCACGCAAACAGTTGACGTATTTTATCAACTGGGGTTTCCTCGCTAAAAAACCCGGTGTCATCTCAAACTTTACTTTGCTTTATTTTACATTGCATGATATTAATTTATTAATTGCTAAAATAAAAAAAGTTAGAAAAACACAAGATCTATTTTTAAATAATCAAAAATTTCTAAGTATTTTATAAACTAGGGTTTCCTCGCTAAAAATTCTGGTGTCATCTTTAACTTTACTTTGTTTTATTTTACATTGCATGATTTTAATTTATTAATTGCTAAAATAAAGAAAGTTAGAAAAACACAAGATATGTTTTTAAATAATCAAAACTTTCTAAATATTCCGCTGTGTACGACTCACAAATTGGTATTAGAGTCAATCTCTACACATTGAGTTGATCCTCGTTGGAAAGTTTTGTTTTGATTTCAAAAATTAATTTTTAATCATGTCTTATGCGTTGAAAGAATGTGGTTTTAATCAACGTGGTCCTTTGTTTGAAGGAGATAATTACAATTTTTGAAAATCAAAGATAAGAGCCTATTTGCAAAATTCTGGTGGTAAAACTTGGGCTATAGTTGAATTTGGCTATTCACCATCTACAATTCTGTAGTTGGTAAAGAAGTCAAGGTCTTAAAAGATGCTTTTGCTTTTACTGCTATTGAAACTGAGCGTAATGATGCTAATGGGAAAGCTTTATATGTAATTATTAATTCTTTTTATTCCATCTGAATATGTTAGAATTTCTAATTGTAAAACTGCTAAAGAAATTTGGGATATTTTGCAGGTTACTTATGAACGAACTTCAAAAGTGAAGTTATCCAAAATTCAGATGCTTTCTCATAACTTTGGGAACATCATGATGAAAGAAGATGAATCATTTTCTAATTTTTATTTTAGTCTTCTTGAAATAAATTCTGAACTACGTCACTTAGGTAAAAAAGTTAGTGATAAGAAAATCTGTGAAAAAATCTTAAGATCTTTACCTAAAAGATTTCAGATTAGAGTTGAAACCATCACTGAACATTGTGATTTAACTACCTATAAAGTTGATGAGATGGTAGGTTCATTAAAAACTTTTGAGATGCAAAACTTTGATTTAAATCAGAAGGAGAAGAATCTTGCTTTAAAATCTACACAGGTTGAGAATTCTATGGATGACAACTCTGATGATGATTTTGCTTTTCTGTCAAGGCAATTCAATCAGATCTTGCAAAGACAACAGGTGAGAAGGAATAACAACATGGCTAATCATCAAAATTTTGACAAGACGTCGAAATTTAGGTTTAATGAAAAGAAAATAGAAGAATCTAAAGAAACTGAATTCACTTGCTGGAATTGTGGTGGCAAAGGTCACGCATCCAATGTTTGTCCTAGTCCTAGAAAAGAACAAAATGATAGGAATAAAGAAAAAATAATGAAAGTTTTTATGACTGAAAATTCTGCTTTAAGTGATAATGATTCTAGTCATGATGATTCTAATGATTTTTCTTATATCGCTTTTCTTAATAGAGGTTCTCATGTTGTTACTTTATCTGATTCTGATATTTCAGATAATGAAGTTCAAGATGAACAGTTTCAAGAGGCTAAAAAGGACGATGAAAGATTGAAGAAGATGGTCGAAGAAACCATTGAAGTCAAACATGCAATCAATAAACTAGCAAAAGAGCTTATCCAAGCAAAAGGAGAGAATGAATATCTAAAGAAACAGATTGATGAAGGCAAGAGGAAAGCTTTTGAAAGCAATTCTGTCATCACTGAGTTTAAGAAGAAGATCATCATTCTTGAGGATAAAGTAAGTATTGTTAACTCATTGAAGGAATGTCTTGCCTTGAAAAATGATTATCTTTAAATTAAATTAAAATCTAAACAAGATAAACTGAAAATGATTCAATTTGAGTCAAAACAGTTTGAATAAGAAAATCAATATCGGTAAGGATGTGAATGATAAAACAGGATTAGGATTTGTTAAAGGCTTTTCTAGTAGTCAAGGTAAAACAATTTTTGTTAAACCTGCTGTTATACCTAAACCATGTTTACCTGATTCATATGTCTTATATGCCTAGACTATTGCATTGCACTTTCTGTGATAAGACTGGACATAAGTATCACTCATGTTTTTAAAAGAACAAAAAAAAGTCTTTGAAAATTCATTCTTAGAATGTTCAAGCTAAGAAAAAGGTGTTTTCTAAAAAGAAAAAGAATTTTTGTGCCACCTAAGTTTTCTAAAGTTGAAAATCTGCCTAAGAAAGAGGTAAAGAATGAAAGAGAATTTCAGGAAGTGAGAATTAAGACTGTGTGGATCAAAAATACTAATTTGATCAATTTGGTGCATGTTGAGTCCATGGAACTAGATTTCAAAAGGACTTCACCTTCAAACTAAGTCATATGAAATTCAGTGAACATAGTTTGTGCTTAAAAGAAAATTTTGTTGCCATGGGATCACTTATTAGGCTTTGATTAGGGTTTTGAATTTTTTATCATAATTTTCATGATATACATGTGAAAATTCTTTTGAGGAATTTATGATCTATCTTTGAATGCAAATTGAGACACATGATAATTTGGATAAAAATAGATTATTGGTTTGTAATCTATACAATGAAAGATGATTTGCATTGATTAGGAGTTTTTAGATTTGAATCTCCTAAGTTCATAGACTTTTGTCCACTGATCCATCTCTGAAAATTTTGATTGAAAATCTTTTGATCTGTTGACTGGTTTATTGTTCACAAAACCTATAAAGATTATTGTCTGAAAAAAAAAAAAAAAATAGGAGCTTAAAAAGAAAAAAATTCAGCTTATAAAAAAAAAGAAATTTTGAAAAAATTGCTGGATACTTTGCTAAGGAAAAGGCTACCTATTGAGATTTTATTGAAAGCTCCCATTAGACTTTGAAGATGAGCTAATTGAGTTAAAAGAAAAGTAGAGATAAGTTGAATTGGGGAATTACTGACTGCTCTTTCGAATGAAAGCTACATTGCTTAGAAAAATTGCTCAAAACAATTTTATCTTGATACTTTTCGATCAATAAAGTTTAAACAATGATAAGTTGAAATTTTATTGAAAGTGGATTAGATTGGATTTCACACACACACATGAACTTGCTAGATTAATTTCTAAACTTTTCTATAAAATTTGCAAGTTTGATTTCATGTGGTGATTACTTTCTGAGATTTAAAATTATTGAAAAGTCTGTGGTGTCAAATATTAGTTCTCTAAGATACTTTTAAAATTCTCTGAAAGGGTTTTTGT